GAACACTCCGAATCTCCTCCATGGTCTTATGATAAATACATCGTTCTCAGCATCAGGGCTAACTTGAAAGAATAATTTCACTGACTACTTCATCAAGAGTAACTTAAAACCAACATATTTCTGATGATGTACATACTATTTTTTTCCTTTACTGCATTCTAAAAATTATGACAGAACTGACCTTAAACAAATAGTTCTTTGCTTTTATTGAAATTTCATATACACATGTGCATATCTTCTACATAATAATACAGCATATCATTTTTCTTTCATATTTTAACAGCATGATTAGCATGCAAAATTCTCCACCCTACTTATTTGCATTCCCACTTGCTATGAATAAATCTGAGTTATTTTATTACAACAGTCAAAGAAGGGCTACATATACACAAACATATCCAAACAGTGCATTGAGCATACATTTAGTTTTACAAATTACTTTTCTATGTCTATGACTTTTTTCTCTAACAAAGAAATAAAAAATTCATAGATCTAATTTTTTCATTTTCATTATTGTGCATAATTCTATTGTATGAGTATACTATAATTTATTTATCCATTTTATCACTGATGAACATTTGTATGACTTCTCAATTTCAGCTATTAAGAAAAATAGTGATATACGCACTTTTACATATATATCCTGGTGCACATGTACCAAAGATTTTTAGTATATAAAAATAGAAGTGCAATTAATTTCTCTTAGGATATACATCTTCACCTTAATTACGCAATGCTATACTGTTGCACAAAGTTGTTTTACCAATTTACAGTTCCATGAAAATTCCCATTGTCTCAGATCCTTTCCAAAATTTGCAACATCAGATTATTACCTATACTTTTATATTTAAATAAAGTATTATTATACTTACATTTCACAACATTTCATAATCTTTTTTCTATTCTAATTTTAAAACTATATTTGATTTGAAAAAATTACATTACTCTTTTCCCTTTCTATGACTCTGATTTCATGTACATTCACTCATATTGCATTGTATATTACTTAGACAATTATTAATATTTTATTATACATTTTTACAATCTTCTTTGTCTCAAATAATCTTTTGTTATCAACAAATGTTACCATAGCAGAGACATTTCCTTATATCTGACACTAAGTCAGATCACTTTGAGAAAATATGTTTAGGTAAAAGCACTTGTAAGGGAAATTTCTGTGCTGCCTAAAACACCTACAAGGAGAAAGAAATGTTGAAATCGAACCTACATAGTCTTCTATTAATGTATTTTCCCATTGAATATAGGAAGTTCTTTTAAATCCTGCCTATGATGATAAAACTTTTGCTTCTCTCACAGAGAATTTACAGTAATCTCAGATGATTTTTCTTAGATTGCTATTTCCCAAAATTATAATTAATGTGTAGCCTGAAGGAAAGATTGTTGAAATCACCATAACAAACATCATAACCTGAAACCTCTGTACCTTAAGGAAGATCTAACTTTTTCTTAGAGTGGAAATAAAGTAAATGATGAAGAGGAGGAAGAAGGTTGTCACCATTTTCACGGTCCTTTTATGGACCTCTGTGCTGGAGTCCCTTATATCCATCAGGTTTAGGTACAAATTCTCGGTGTGTCTCATCACGGACAGAAACAAAGGAACAAAGAGGTCAGGAACAGAAGAAAGGGGATGATATAGGTCAAGTAAGAAGAAGAAGGCATTTAAGATAGAAAATTTTATTTTCACTTAATGCAAAGTCATGTTTCTTTCACGTCCTCTATGGATATTCATCCACAACTCACTAAGAGCATCCTGCATTAAAAGGTTAACAGACAATCAGAAGAAAGACCCCAGGAAAAGCACAAGAACCATTCTATTCTCTCTCCACTTCAGCCAGATGAAAAAGAAGTGGGAGAAATTGGCGATCTTAAGGAAGCAGAAGATGCTTAGGCAGGTTGTAAACCAGGTAGTTAAGTGATCAGTTAGTGCTCAAAGGATAGTAACTGCTTTTGCTAGTTTCCTGGTGGCATACAGATGTGGAGATAGCTCCACATTCAATGAACCAAATAGTGTTACCTACTGTTGGATGACTCTGGCCATAGCCAAGCTGGTAGGATGAAATCAGCTGATGAGCTCTTCCCATTCTTGATCCATTTGATGCGGGTTACCAGCCCAATGAACCCATTTCCCAGCATTCCTAAGATGAGTTCTCCTGTTGCCATGAGCAGAAAGGAAGCCCTCATTACAATCGACATTTCTATGAAAATATTTCTAATGTTGTGCCTCACTGACAGCTTTAGAGTTAAACAGTTGCAGATTGACACCCATTTATGACGCTTTTATAAATGTTTTCATCATAATTCCAGAACATATAGCCAAAATTCTGCTATGTAATACCGTTTCAGAGGTCTTCATGAAAGAATAGTTCATTCACTTTAGTTTGTAATTCCAGAGAGAAATCAAACAGTTCTATTAAGAGATACAGAGCTTCACGAATACCTTTCTTAGTAGTTCAAGTCATCTACTATATACTTTCCAGAGTAAATGCTAATCACGTCCACTTATCCTTGGCACCAGCTACAAATTTCCGTTTGTGCTAATACTAAAATGACGAAGTCAGTTGTGCAAACGTGAAAATATGAGAGATTATTTTCTACTAATTTGTACTTTCATTTCCCCTGAGCCATAAGTTTGAACACAAATACTTTAGATTTTGAATAGAAATTGCTAGAAAAAATTTTAATGTAAAATTAATGTATAGCTAATTAAAATATATCTTAAATTTTAATATTTCTGTCATTATTTGTTACTCATCAATAAGATCCTTCTACCTATCAAGTATTTTTGTTGATTCAATATGATTTACAGTGATAACTTAATGCAATTATTTCCAGTTCAAAGAACACTTCCAAGTCCCAGAAGAAATAACTACAAATAATTATTACATAACCTTGTGAGAGCTAAGTCAAATGTTATAAACAAATATACTGGGAATATACACAAGGAAGCTACAAATGCTACAGAGCAGAATCAATTATGGTTTTATGAAGATAGGAACATTTAGTTTGAACTTAAATTCTTTAGAAATCATGAGGAAATACAAAAAAGAACTGATATTCAAGATTGATGTAAGGATATTACAAATTATCAAAGTGATATAAACAAGCTACACCGTGCTCCTAAATGGAGAAACTTATTTTGTTTTACAATAACTTATTGGATATTTCAACTGAATTATTACAAAGTGCCCTAAACTTCCATGTCCTAAATTCCATGTTCTCCTCTTCTTTCTCGGCTGGAGAGTGACTTTATTTCCCAACCTCCCTTACAGATAGTTGTGACAACGTGACTGAAATCTGAACAACACTATATGAGTGAAAAATTATGTGTATCATTTACAGGCCAGCACCAAAACCTCTCCCCATGCACACTCCTACAGACACCTTTCTCCTCCTGGCTGTCTGGAATGGAGATGACTCCAAGGTAATCTTGGAAGCCACCTGTTAAAGATGGCATACTTTTGATCAGCCTGATTCCCTGGATAACTGTAAACAGAAGGCTTCTCAGACACAGCAGTACTGCTAAAAGAGCAATATTAAATGTACTTTGTGTTTGAGTCACTCTATGTTGTGGAGCCTATTTGTGACATTTTCTTTCCCTGGTCTAATGCAGAAATTGGGAGTGTGAGTACGTGGATTTGTTTAGAGGCATTTGAATGGTGAAGAAACCAAACCCGGGAATCCATGCAACCTGCAGATTTTGTGAGGGGTTTCATTTTCATTAGTTTTCCAGTCCTAATATGGTTTATTCATATGTTTATTTACTCATCAGAATATCATTTGGACTAACTACTCCATGGGCTGGCTTATATGTCCTGGGGAGTCAGCAGAAAACAAGAGAGATGAGATCCTTGCATTATGCTGCTTATATTCTACTGGGGCACATAGATGACTAAAAACAGATGAATGAATAGGATGTGGAAATGATTTATCTTAAGATTTACATAATATTGTCGAAATTTCATAATACTAAGAATCAATATAGACATGTAAATTCAGTTGTTAAGGTTATATGTTTCTTTCTTATAATAGAACTTTCTATGAATAATATATTAACACATTTTTTCACCATTTTCCATAAAATTATAGAAAACAGATCTTGAAGATATTCCCTATAATTATTGCACAGACATCATAGATACTATTTTAGTATATGTAGAATGGTCATTGAATTATGTACCATAATTTCTTACTATTTTTGTAGTGAACATATTTTTAAGATAAGGAAGATTTGAGTGCTCTTATCTGAAGTTTGAAAAGAATTTTTAGGTAGCAAGATAGAGAAGATGATTGGCAATTCAGAGGCCCAAAGGTGGTTTAGGGGGAAACTGAATAATTTGACATCAGATTTCAACTTCAGAAAAGATCTCCTTAATTCAAAAACTGTAGGAAATGACTTTCCCAACTGCTTATGGAAACATAGTAGCACTGAAAACAGGTCATGATAATTTTTCTTTCCTCTTGACCCTATTGTATAACTCGATTTTTTTCTAAGCTTCTCATCTACTTCTATTGGAGCTAATATTCTTCAGTACCATTTTTTGTACACATATATAAAATGTATTCTAAATATGCTTGTCAATCTGAAATTTTATTTTGTGCATCTTTTCCTAACAACACTTCTAGTTGCTCTCTATTAACCATGAAGAAATAATTCATGGTGGAATATTTCTTTCCCAAACATGTATCCTCAATGTGCTATTTATAATTGAATATCATTACCATCCAAAAGATTGGAAGTTCAAACAATAAATCTAAATACACTGTGCAATACATGTGTTTGGTCCTAAATACAATGGAAAATAACAATGATTACCTGAGGTAAGTTGTCAGTTATTAAAAACGCATAAATATAGATCACAAATTTTACCATTGAATGATGACAACAAAAATATCTATGTGAAACCCACATTGGTTCCTAATATTGAGGAATTTCTTACAACATTTTATAAAATTAGATTGCTTACCTCAGAAAGAATTGGCTAATGGTATGGGAATCTTATCATCTTTCTTATGGTTTTCAAGGCCTGTCTTAGCTTCTTGTTTCCCCAAATCAGGATAAATGAGTGGCTTAAAGGATAGAGCATTGCAAGAGCCTCAGAAAGCATGACAAGCAGTGTATTATGCAGCCTATTATAACTCTCAACTAAAGTAACCAGAGCTAGGAAGTAACTGACATACAAGAAGAGAAAGGAGACCACAGTTTGCATGGCTCTTATGTGGACCTTGGTGCTGATATCTTGGGATCCTTTGCCACTGAGCTGCATCTTCTTGAGATGATTCCACAGGGAAATGATTAACAGCAGAAAAGATGTCAGCGACATAGAAAATGGTGTGAAGTTTACTAGCATGAATAGATTCATATATGAGAAGTGAAAAATGTCCCTCAATTTGGTCTTCTGAGTGATGTTTCTTTCATACTCATTAGTCTGAATATTCTCATATATGCATAGAATTGCAAGATGAGGAACCAAAAAGACCAGAGTCCCCAACAGTATTATGAGAAGTACACTTTTAACTCTCCGCTTTAGGTAAAGAAATATAAAGCTAGAGAAATTAGCTACCTTGAGCAAATAAAATATGCTGAGGCTAGCAGCAAACCAGATGTTAAAATGGTTGCTTACTGTCAAGGCAATACGAACAAAAATTCTTACTTCCAAACTATATAAACCCGGATGGAGCACAACTGTATACCAATTCATTAATAGTACCCAGAGCAAAACAATTCTGGAGACCGCCAGAGCAGTGAGAATTTGATCAGCTGAGGACATCTTATGTCTCTTGACCCAGTCAATGCAATTCACCAGTGCTATGATGCCATTGGCAAAATTTCCCAGAATAAATTCCGTCGTTATTAAGACAGAAAAAATGCTTGGTAGTAAATTTACCATGTCTAGAAAAAAAAAAAGAAGAAGTTTAATATCCCTGGTAGTGATTCCTTTAATGTTCTGAGCTTAACTTCTATGTGCAGCTGGAATGTAGAGTAAAGTTCTTGTTTCCATGTTTTCCCTGTTTTAAAGTTCTTTAAATTCCATGATCGATGTCAAGCAGGAAAACACCAGACTATGCAGATGGAAGAGCTCAATACTGTCTTTATGAAAAACATTGTTACTCCCAAAAAGCAGAAATTGTCTCCTATTTATACACGGTGTGTCCTTGCCGTGGGCTGGATTATTTCATAACTGATTTTGAAGTGAAAGATGAATTCTCATTTGCTAGCATGCAAATAAGGACATCTCGTTTTGCAATTTTTTCCTTTTTGAACCTCTCCACAATTCGTGTTCAACAACATTATTTGTTAGTAAAATTTAGAAATCCAATACATAAAACATACAGTGAATGTCTAAACTTTTTGATGGAGCTTGCTTATAAGTAGGATCATTATCATTATGTGTTTATTTATTTTTTTAATGACGTATTTCTGGAAAGAATTCAAGCTTTCCCATCAAAGGCATTCATATATTCTTGGGAACCCCAGGAAAGCCAATACACCCTAAATACTAGTTGCTGAAAACTATGTATAAATTTATTGTTTACAAGCTCATAAACACACACACACATTCACATCTATTTCTCATGGATGGAATTATTGTTCTACAATATGAAATGTAAAATCAGGGTTAGGAGGTCCTCTAGCCTTAAATCCTCCTTTTCTCCCATGCAGCAGGCTTTCAAACCATTATTCATAGCTATAAAACACGTATAGATAAAGTTTCTGAGTCTGTTAAATATTAATATTTAATTGAAATGTTCAGGGATTTTATAAATATTCCTTTGGCATTTGAAAAGTATATGTGTTTTCCATTGCAGAACCCAGAGTTTTCCATATATAAATACCAGGGTTTTTTTCTGTTTAATTCATTTTTGACTATTTATTATTTTTTAACATTGATAGATGTTAAAATCAACCTCTACCCTTGGGTTTTATGCAATTTCCATTTTTAAAGCACTCACAGTTGTTTCTAGCAGAGGATCTTGGACCCGGACTGCCAGGATGGAAAACCCAAATTCTCAACTTCCTACGTCTCTGATCTTGGACTCTGTTTTAAAACTACTCTCTGCCTCAGCATAATCATCAGTAAAATACAGATAACAGGGGGATCCTCACCCAGTGGGCTTTTTGAGGCGTGAGCATCCTGTCTGTGTAAAGCATGTTCCCTTTCCCCTGTCTGCTACAGAGCAGGCATGGAGGCTTGTTACTTATTCTGTGGTATTTGATACTTCAGAGTTAGCCTTTGAGGAGTCCCACCTAGGAGTACAATGTAGCAGGTTGAAAAATAATAGATTTCCCCCCAGAACAACACTGATACAGGGAATGAAATTCCAAAAATATATTTTAAGTTCATCAGAGAGCTGTGCAAGGAAGGAGGACCAAGTGCACTGAAATCTGAAATGAAGAGAGTCTTCACATAAAGAGATGGTCGATATAAGCAGTGTGATCCCTGTCTATTCCCAGCAGGTTCTATCTGAGGAAAGTGAAAAGCTATTCCTAAAATATGTATGGAAATGCCAAGGACTCAGAATAGCCAAAAGAATTTCTTAAAAACAGAAAAATACATTGGAGGATTACAGTTCCTAATATCAAAGTTTACTACTAGGCTGCCATAATCGGGATAGTGTGGTTCTCTCATGAAGACACATGTATAAATCAATGAAACACAACTGAGAGTCCAGATTAACATTTTTATTCACAGTCAATTGATTTCAAAAAAGATATCAAGACAATCAAGGTGGAAATGATCTTTTTGTCAACAAATGAAGTTGGAACAATTAGATATTCACATTTATGAAGATGAATTTAAATCTTTATTTCATACCATACGCAAAATTAACTCAAAATGGATCATAGACCTAAACGGGAGAGGAACAACTACAAACTTTAGAAGAAAATGCAGCAGAACATTTTCTAAACTCGCATTAGCTAGACCTCTTAGATTCAATACCAAAAGCATGATTCATAAAATTAATAAACTAATAAATTGGACTGTATCAAAACTGAAACTTTAGCTCCCTCTGATTGCTGGTCCATGATGTTCACACCTGTATAATTCCCTGCCCTTCAGTGTGGGCAGGACCTGTGACTTACTTCTGGCTTCAAGAATACGGCAACCATGAAGGGATTTTGCAGGTAAAATCAATAGATTTTTAACTGATTGAAAGAGATACTATCCTTCAAGGAGCTGATGTAATCAGGTAGAAGCTTTTAACAGTGTGGCTGGGCCTCCCCTGAGCGAGAGAGATTCTTGTTGGCCTTGAAAGAGTAAGCAGCCACATTACGAAGTGCCTGTGGATGGGGCCGCAAGAAAATGAACTCTGCCAAGAACTTGAGTGAGCTTGGCAGTAGATTCTTCCCCGTGAAGCCTGTAGATAGAATGCAATATCACCAAAATTTTAATTCAACATGATGAGATCCTGAAACAGAGAACACAGCTAAACCTTGCTCAGACTTCTGACCCAAAAAACTGTTAGATAATACATGTGTTTGTGGGCTTAAGCCACTAAATATGTGGTAATCTTATGCAGCTGATGGATAATTCTCATAGAACAATACAGTTTGTCTACATCCTCAGGTGTCATTCAACATATAAACACGGCATCTGATTTCATTGTAACATTGGGAAATTATAAATACATTGCAAATTATATAATTATAAATATATATTTATTTCGAGACATATGGAAAAGATTCTATTCCAGAAATATGTTTTAAAATATAAGAAAGTCCAATGGGAAAATATAGAAATAGTTTTTTTAAACTCTCCAAACATTGTTGGTGTACTTATTTTCCTAATTTTTCCTTTTGGAGAATCATTTTTTATGGAGTTTAAGCTTTCATTCCTTTTAGAAAGCACTTCAGCTGCCCCCAAATCCTAACAGCAGCTTGCTTCAGCTTGCTGTTTCTCAAAATTAGGATAAATGAATGGCCTAAAGGATGGGCAGATGCTATTAATTTACCAAACGTCAATATCAGCTTGTTAGGAGACAATAATGGATGTAACTGTTATCAGAATCAACACAATATAAAGCAGAAAGAGAAAGAAGAAAGAATTCACCGTTCTCATGGCTTTTCCATGAGCTTCACTTCTGGGATCTTGGGACCCTGTGATACTGAACTCCATCCTCTAGCTATGCCTCCAAAGAGAAAGAAATAATGGAAGAACCAATGCTGTGGGAAGAGTTATGGGCAGGGTGATCTCAACACTGATGAGCACTGAGAACATGGTGGGTTTTGTTTGATATGTATTAATCTTCCAAGTCTTGTTTGTTTCTAGATCTAGAATATCAGGAATTATGTGGACTACCACCATGATGCTGAAAAGAAAAATGAGCAGGGACCTCAGGAAAATAATAATAACTATCTGTTAGTTCTCCACTTTAATCAAAGAAAAAGAGGATGGGGAAAAAAAAGTAACGATCTTCAGGGAAAAGAAGATGCTGAAGCAGGTTTCAAACCGGACATTTAAGTAGTTGATCATTACATAAAAGAGAATATTAATTTTTCCAATTGGCCAGGCTATGTATATCTGCAGACAGCACCATCAGAAGTGAATCAATCAGTATGATGATCCAGTACATTCTGCTTATGGATAAGCTCAGTAGGATGAAGCTAACGAAGCTGTTTTTCCTGTGTCTTACCCAGACAATATAGCTCATTATTCCAATAGATCCATTTCCCCAAGTACCAAGTATGAATTCCATAATTAAGAAACCAAAAACATGTTGTCCTGTGCACTTGACAATTCTTCTGGGTGAAAAGTTACCATCCCCAATAGCACTGTTGATGAATTGATGGATTGCAAATAGTATTTTTGGTGGTGCTTATTTGTTTTTATTGGGGCTTCCACTCCATTTCAGTAAACACCAGATTATATTATCACACTGGTCCTCAGCTAACATTGTGGAAATCATTTCAGTTCATATAAAATGTCTTATTTTGTGATTTCCTTCACAACAAATGTGGATATTTCCCTTTTTGTAGTAATCTCTGCTGTAACTTGTTACGTTCTAATAGGAGTGAAAGAATAGAATTTAGTTTGCTTATGTGCAAATGGAGAAAGATTCTCTTTCATTGTTTCACCCTCTGCTCTACTCTAAAATGCACTTTAGAAAACATGAAAATCCTCAAATAGGAGCTTCTAAGAGCCATCTGCAGAATTAAAATTGGTGTAGAAAATTGAATTTAGAGATGGAAATTCAGCTTCACCATCACAATTAGCATCATCATTCACTATAGTACTAAAAAGGAAATAAGTAAAAAGCAACAATAATTTAACTCTACCTGGGCTGGAGGATCTTAGGTGCCTGTAAATAATTCATAAATTGGGAAAATGGCCAAAATGAATCTCAGTAGTTGAAATTTAAAAGAAATATGCTATTTTTACCAGAATAATCTTTAGTTTGATAATTACAGTAATTCTGATCAACATTCTCTAGATACATGCTTACATTACCAAGTGTTTTTATCGTTGACATCACATTTGCTTCTGAAAAACATCATTTAGTAGAGATAGAACAATATTCTATTTTGAAAATATGCAAACTGGAGATCCCCAAATTTAAATAGTTTGCTCAAGACCATGCAGCTACTGGTGACAGATCAGGCCTTCAATGACATCTTTTGATTCAGAGTAGCACTCTTACATTTCCATTGTATTTATTGTTGCATGCAAACTAACACATGAGCATGCATGCGTTTTTAAAAAGTGAAATTTTCTTCACTGATACGCAGTCCATTAATATGAGAGTTTCTCAGGTTAAATTCCACAATACATTACAATTAAAAGATATTCTCTGAAAAGAATAAGATTTCATAGAGAAAGAAACTTGGAAAATCCCACATGCAGTACTCCCTCTTTAATAGTAATAGAGTATACAGAGAGCCCGTGATTAA